AGGTTTTCTGAGCTATAATTATTGCAGATTTGGCATTCCTAAGAAATAGGTATATTGGGAACAAGTAACACAATATTATTATCTTTATATTTCTATAAATGAATAGCGTATAGGCACAGATAACAGTGAGTTTACTAGTGTTAACATAGGATAATTCGCTCATTATAAAATGTGACTGCTAATTTACAGATCCTGTTGTACAAATCCCCATTACGTGGCCTCAGGGTACATATGGGTTAACACAGACAGAAGGCAAGCACGTATGCCCAAGTACACCTGGCTTCACCTGGCACACTGGATGGCGTAAACACGACACAGAAAAACGCAACGACTGGTCTGATGGAAACCATTTTGTTGGACCCTACTGGAACAACGATATGTACGACAACTTCTGTATGAAACACGAAACTAAAGTTACAGAATACGACTGGACCTGGCCCGATGGCCAATATTGCGTCTACCAGGCAGGCTCAAATTGCCCTTCGAGTAAAGTATACTTTTAGCCTGGTTTATTTTTATTAGAAATGATCAAAGAATAGTTACATGATTATATAATAAAATTTTACCACGTGGAAAGTGCAGCAATTGCTTGTATTACAGTACTACTAAACACAACTTTCATTTAGGCTGACAGTTCATGGGGAAAAATGGTGAATACGGCTAGCTACAATCACATCATTTATTATTTTTTATTAAAGGCTCCACAACTCTTTATTCTGGACAGACACGGAATGGAAAGCATTATGGTGTTTTCCGGGAATAGCCCGATAAGAAATATTTTTCTTCCGTAGGGCAATTTTCATTATGATCAGTGATAATTTGAAATAATTCATTCATAATCATAACATATTTAAAATATTTTCTTCTTTTTTTTTTCTGGCAGACCTAAAGTCAGGCGCGATCTTCTGGGATGATAAAAATACTGGTCACGACGACTTCGGAGGACATCTTCCGAAAGGCACCTATAACCACGACACCAAGATGTACTTCTGCTGTCAAGATGATGGATTCACCACAAAAGAAATATACCTTCCTACTGACAGTCCATTCTACTTGTTCCCATATATCGCGGACCATTGTCAAAAGGTTGCTGGTATGACTGCGAGTATGGAATTTTTCTGGTTTGACAATGAAAATACCAGCAATGATGATTATAAATTTGGTTACTATCCATATTCCTATGGACATAAAGGTCATCTTATACACTATTGCTACTATACTCCTAAGTAATTAGAAATACATCAGTAAGACAATTAAGATATTTTTTTGTTAGAATCCTAGCTGTCGGTAAATATCTCGTCGATTTATAACCGAATTCATTCATTCATTCATTACTTAGCCTTTTAAAAATCAGAATACAATTTGTGCGTACAGTAAAATAAAAATAAAAAAACAAAATTGACAATACAAAAAACTGTAAGTAGTCCAGAATTAGCAAAAGCAATTAAAATCGCTTTATATATATATATATATATATATATATATATA